GTCAAAGGGCTCTATGGGATGTTGATGATCATTCATGACAGTCCGATACAAGCGGGATCGAGGTGCTCTGCAGCTCCGATGTGATCAATGCCGGTAAGCACAGATCCTTCTCCGGTGGGGCTGATAGGCTATTATCACTCCCATCACATATCATGTTGTAGTCGTCCAGAAGTGATAATGCATAGATTTACTGCGGCGAATCTTGTAGGGTAATTTGGCCGAGAATTAATTAGATTTTGATGGTTCGAATTGGGCGTTATTATAACTATGAATACTACAGCGTGTAGGTATCGAGTATATCGTCATGCTATACCTATCCTGGCAGTGGACTGTACAGCCAACCCTACGCATAAGCAGGTAGGCAGTTCTTGAAGGTGCTATGCATTTTACTATTGTTTCATCAGAAATTGACTAAACCGCCACCACGGTCGCTGCAGTTCCCGGAGTACCTTCTACCTTACATATCCGGTAATCAGGTCGTCGTATACTACTACTGTCTATCCCCCTGTCAGGCAAGCAATTCAAGAAGCATCCTAGCTGGCGTAATCAGAAGATATTCCAGTGTTACCACTACACCCGGAACAACCGTCTTCGGTAGTGGTATGCACTAGCCTTCATGTGTTATGAGTTTCTGTCAAAGGCCACTAGTCATCGTTGGGTTCAGTGTCCTTGCTACAGAGCTCCCAGTAGTTGTTAAATGCAGTAAGATCACATACACTCGAGTAAACAGGCTTCAATCAACTAGACTGGCCTCAGCAGATGCTTACAACAATGAGTTGGACAGGAGTTAGCTCTAGGTCTACAATTCCCGTTGGAATTAGTCCCATATACCGGTAAATTTTCCGTTTTTTTCGACTCATTTTTTTAATTTCCCCCGTATTTTACAACAATCATCTCCTCTGCGATCGCATTGTAATATCCCTACAATGTCTGGTTATGTCACACTTGGTGGTGGCGACTTCCGTTCAACAACTATCAGTTCCCGTAACCACACGGCCACCCCAGATGGCTCTGTGTCCAACCCTAGCTCCATATCGATTGACAAGGATAGGATAGCTGTAGGTTGTCGAAGGCTGATCGGTACTAGTCTTATGTCTCTTCTAGGTCGGCCTAGTACGCGAAGGGTTTGCTATGGAATACAGAGTGATATTGGGGGTATTCAACTCAACATTAACATTAGTTTATCTCCTACTACAATTACTACTATGTTATCCAGGGCATGCTCAACGGTGGCTCGGCCCTGTAGTGCTGCTGATTGTAGCCCCACTGTAATAAGACTACCAGTCTCTTTGGAAGTTACTAGGCCTGTCTTAGATACCACCTGCTATGGTCAGTCCGTTACCGGGGTGTGCAGCTGCAGAAGCTCAATGCTTACAGTATGCATCGGGCCACTGGTATCGTCATTCGGGAGTGGTCGTGGAAATCGTTAGAAATTATATTCCAACTCACTTGTCTGGTCATCGCCGTAACATATGCGGTACTAGACCTGTTAGCAATACCGTTGGCTGGTGTGGTATTGAGTTTCCTTTCTTTGCTTACCTTTGCTCGACTCGTATACGACCTTGAAGGGGTCCATGAGGCTTCTGTGGGAGTGGCATTCAACCGTGTTATAGAAGAGGCGTGGACCTCCTTGTCTGCCTGTCTGCTTATAGTCATGGTTGCAACAGCGTGTGGCATGCTCTCAAGCCACTACATAGCACAAGAGTCTAGTATTATAAACGGTCTGGTGGTAGTTTTGGTGGGATGTGTAGATGGTGTGGTATGCATAACAGCAGCCTCCTCACTGGCTCGTGCTCACAAGAAAGTCGTTGATGACGCTGAGAGATCTAGACTGTGCCTCAACAACCTTAGCGTGAAGAACCAATCTCTATTGCGGGATATACGACTATCATTCAAACACGCTAGGAAACTGAATGAGACCGCGGGCTTGACCTTTTGGCAGCTATTACGGCTCATAGACGGGTGCTCGGCGAGCTACCACTCGGGTGCGCCTACTCACGACATAGAGGCTGACGGATCTCTGGTTAACAATGGGGAGCTTGTTGCATGTGATAACAGAATATTGGGGTGGGAAATAGTGATGGATATGGTTGGAGAATCGAGAGGCTTGCCACTTTGGCGTTATCTTACTGATAGCTGGGCTGAGGAGAGGCTCGAGACAGTCGCTCCTTCAATAGTACCTATTCTGGACGCTGGTGTAGCAGCAAATAGAGGAACTCATAGCGGTAGTAGAAAGTAGTATCGAGGTGCGGAGTATGTATATTCTATATCAGATCGCGGCTTCGCATCACCACCTGTAATGACCACGCGTGTTAGGCGGCAGTCGCCGGAGCGAAGAGTGTACTCCAAAGGGGATGGTAGGAGGAAGTGGAGTGGGGGATCCAATGCATCGACTTTGAAGTATGGGGATAGTTGTGAGAAAGTGAGCACATGGGATGCCAATCGCGACTTGGTATACTATTTTCGTTGTGGAAAATAATGCCAAGGTGTGGATCAGACCGTTGTGGAATATGATGGGTTTTGGGAAACTCATTATCAGTTTCGGTGGTGCGACTTTAGGCTGCGGAGAGCATCTTTAGATTCGTCTATCGTTATCAGGAACGTCATTGTACTTGTAGTGTGACAATTTGAAAGTTATTTCACAAACGATAATTTCCGCGACGCACAGTAGTGTCGTTCCAAGCAGCTGTTGGTTGCTACTCTCAGGGCTACAGCGAGCAAATACGGCTCCAACAGGAGAACTTAGTCTTTTCTGCAGACTCTACTACGCATATAGAAAGCCCCAGAGAGAAGTTCAAGGGGGGCAATAAGCGACAGCAGAATGCGTGTAAGAAGTCCTTCCTGGGTCGACTTAGGGAGGCAAGTAATCAGCCATCTCTGGTAAAAGTGAATTCACCGGGGAGCGCAACGCACCGGCCACGATAATCAACTGCAAGTGGACGATTTTACCCGTGTTATTCCAATCACTAATCCTTGTATGCGTTTCTTATGGTATGCGGTCTTGCTTGCTAGTATGTCATTGGGGGGTAATTTCGTGGCGCGTGAAGGTGACTTGTATGTGATATCATTCTATGGACACATGCTGTGGAAGTAGTAATGGAGGCATGTCCGGCAGCAGTGGTGGTGGTACTACTGAAGGATCCTCAGAGGGAGATGGTTGTAGTGGCTGTAACAGCAGCAGAAAGGAAGGTAGTAGGAACAATACGACCTCCACCAGGGGTCTGCCGTCTGAGATTCCTGTCCTATGGATGGGTAAAGAATAGGAATAAGGTATATCACCAGGCTTTATGATGAATTCACTCGAGTTGTTGGGTTCATCACGAGCCATGTAGTGGCCCTGTTGCCGACGATTGTTGTAGCAGCAGTTTTGTACGTATAGGCAGTGTTTATAGGTCTTTGGACAAGTGTGGGGCAATATAGGTGTGGTCAACTATGTGGGTTGGTGACAATTCAGAAATCTTGAGAAAATTTCGGGGGAGTTTTTGTATACTTTCGTTCTAATTCGTGTGTATATTTCTGTAGTGTAGTAGGAGAATTTCCGGAATCAGTTGAGGAAACCAAACATATACTACAACACTGCTTTAGACATAGTATAGAAGCACGTAGTGATGTCTGTTGCCATTTCTGTCCGTTACGGTATGGCCTCTTGAATGCTAAAAAATCTCCAGTGGTCTGCTTGTAATAGTGTAAGGTTTAGTAATAGGTGTGTAGACTACTTCTAAGGGGGACGGAGTTGTCACTTTCCAGTGATGGTGACGTTAGGTATACGAAGATCGGCTAAGGACCTCCTTACTCGCTATTTGGACAGGCTTATAGTGCCTTTAGTTCGCAATGGAATGGTAAGATAACTGAGTATGCCCTCGCTGGGGATCGAACCTGTGCCCTCGCTCGCCGCCCGAAAACTATATCGTGAGCAGATCCGTTCGACTGTGTTGACGGCTCTCGAATCGGCCTTGGATTCCGGGCAAGTGGACTCCCTACTGGTCCTCAAGACAGCGAGGGATGCCGGAGTGCCGAGTGTAGATGTCCCTCCTTTACATGGCGTTGGTAATAATAGTAATAGTACTTGAGCCCTCGACGAACCCTTCCAGGCCCTTTAGACGACAGTAATGCCCTACTACCTATGGGGCCTCTAATACGTATTGTGCGATTCTTGGACCCTGTTGATGCCGCCAGCTTGGCACGCACGAGCCGATTGCATGCAGACATAGTGCGCCACCCAGCGACCGTTGGAGGGGTAAGCTTCGGTGTTCTCACTTTCGTCACCGACCTTGTGTGACAGCTACTGGTGTCACCACATCTACCCAGACCGTCACTACGAGCAGTACAGCATCTCCTACGGCATAACCCTCCGAGAGTCGGTGTGGACACACTCATACAGCGTTGGCTAGGTGGTCACCTCGAAGGCCTGGACGTTGACTTTACTGCTACCATACGTAATGGTCGAGTTGATTCACGGTGAGTCGGTAAGAGGTATGGTGTTCTCCTCGATCGATGTCAACTGGGAGAGGGTATTGAATGCGTGCTGGGAGAGAATGCATATGGACAGCTGATGTGCTGATGACATTGATAATATTCGAGTTGCTCATTCTTTTATACTTCTACTCTGAGTAGCGAGGAACCTCCTGGGCATTTGTCGCAAAACGTATGGTCTCCCAGGTCCAAAAGGGTAATGGATCGGTTAAGCAGCATAGCAGACTCCCTGGACACCGACATTCGCGTCGTGAGGTTTGCCAAATGCTCTGACGTTGGACAGGACTTCGTGCCTATCATACGCACCCTCCAGAATACCAAGGTCATCACTTGCTGTGTTTTCGTCTCTTGAAGAAGCTCCTATTTCCAGGCAATGACAGCAGTAACGTCGCTGACCCTGGTCGGGCTTATATTAGAACCTTCACCTCAAAGATCGATTCGGCTACCCCAACGTATGGACAATCTCAGGCGACTAGAGCTCACTCAGGTAGTGGAGGAGGAGGATGGGAGCTTGATCTTGTGATCTCATTGGGAGGGCTCTATGAATTATGTAGGGTTGTCAGTGATCTAGAGTCATCATCGGATAAACAGCTCAGTTTGTATACGCTGGATTCCTATATGTGTGATGTCTTTCCGGAGGGGGGGGGGAGCTCTCGATGTACACCTCCCAGAAATGCACCACGAGATCGAACAGTTTGCTCCCCATCATTTAATGTAGCCCTGCATATCATGGTCAGATCACAGTCGTACGTGGATGTGGTCTCCTACCCAGCAACGGCACTGTGATAGCCCCACACCTCACGCAGCTCGTGCTTGCTATCAGACCAGAAAGTGCTGCCCTTGAGGTTGTCGAGGCTCTCATTGGTCGCGGAGGAGGAGGTAGGAGTAGTTGTCCGAGCAATCTTCCGCACTGCGAAGGTTTTTGGCCGCTTCCAGGTTGTATTTTGGAGGAGTTGAGGGTTCACAATTTGAAGACCCCGACAGCAGTGAATGCTTTGGCCGCAACACTTTCCTCGACGATTTCATCACATTTGAAGTATCTTGAAGTTGGCCCATGGACTGAGTGCATCTAGCGGTTGGCTGGAGGTAGTCGGGATCTTATTCTTTTCAGTGATTTCCTAGCAAGAGTAGTTCCTACCTGTACGGCTCTTGAGGAGCTCTCCGGACTGGATGCTCCCTCCGTTGCCAGTCCGGTTCTCATAGAACTGGTAGGGTTATCATTGATAGGGGTATGAAGTATGGCCCCTCAGGGTATAGGTAGGCTGACCAAGCTCAGAGTGCTGCATATCAGTGTTACGGACGAGGACAGTCTTCGAGCGGTAGCCCGTGGTATCAGAAGCTCGAGAGCCCTTCTTACGGTATGTGATAGTTCGACCTCAATGCCCTTCTCACACGTGAGGGCCAATGACTGTATAGGGTCGGGGAACTCGTAGGATAGAGACCCTATAATAGTATTAGGAAAGCCTGAGTCTTTATGAATGGCGTCGTGAGAGTCTTACCACACCTTTGTGAAGTGTTGGCTCATACTCGTTTATCGGGTTCACCTTATAGATCAGACAGTGCTTCTATTCGTAGTAGATCGGAAAAAATCACCCAGTTCAAAACGGTCATTGTTGCTCATGGTGTCAGAGTTACCTTGGTCGTCCCATTTCAGGAGATCAGCGTGCAGTACTTCGGTCCTGATTCCTTAGAAGCTACCCTTGCCTTGGTCAGACTGCGAATAGCTTGCCCTCAAGTTACCACTGTCACCTTCCCTCGAGCCAACTTTATGCGTTCAAGTCCTTCGACCGCCGAGCATCACCACATCTCAGCAGGAGATACATGCTTCATGGGAGTTGCCGAGCAGAAGCTTGCAGAGGAATTACGCCCAAGACTTATATGCAACTGTGCACTGTGCTTACTCCACGATGATTCCGATAGCAACCTGGACCACTTTCATCGTAATGTTCATGAACTGTGGTCGCTATTGACAGCTGCTGAGCAAAGTGCATATGAGACTATTGCTGCTGGTGATTGAGCCACGTTGATGATGAAACTTTGCTGATCCCGTCAGCCTGCAGGAGCTGCTGTCGTTATTACCTCCCACCTTTCTGGGCTGAAAAGCCTAGCCCTTTTGATGAAAATGATGATTTGTTGCATTTCTTATTCAATGTAGTTTTACCCGTTTTTCGCGAATGGTGAATTATGAAATATGTTTTTCATATCACGGGTTGTTGAACTACAATGGTTAGCAGAAGTTTTTATTTTCCCCACTACACATGACTGGAGCCTTCAGTCGAAAGGACGGCAGTTACATTTATCGTAAAGTTCCTGTAGACGCTGAGGAAGGAAGCGTCGAAATGAATGTCGTCAACAACACGCGAGTCTCGACAAGGGCTGAGCCGGAGAGGGAACGACTGCCTACCTTTGATATGGTGTAGCCTCACTCGTCGCCGTCACTGTGGTTGTAGCATCGTATGTGCCTTAGTCCTGTGGAGTGTCGATGTCCTTTCTGCCGAGCTGACATCACTACCTTCATCACTCATGAGGCATCAATAGTGTCCTACCTCCTGGCATTAGTCCTAGTTCTTATCTTACAGTGGCTATCAATATGCATATTGCCGGGTAAGATGCCCCCCTAGACGACACAGGCATGCCCAGCGTGTTGAGTGTATTCGGTGGTTGTCCTCAGTGGTGTGGCCATTGCTGAAGGACACTGTGCATCGATGTCCCAATTGTCTCAACAAGATCGGCTCTCGGTCTAAGATAGCCTTGCCGACCAGCCTCAAGAACGATGTGCTCACATTCCGCATTGGACACTGCGCGGTGGTATTGGCCCGACGGTGAGGACTATGGGGACCAATTTCAGGGGACGTGTGTGCTCGCATTCACTGTGGAAGTTTACTATCTTAGATACGTTGTAATTCTCCTAGCCCTTGTCACTGTGATTGGCCTTTTCTATGTGGCACGTTCATCGGGTGTAATGCAGCCCGCGATGGTCCCTCGAGGGCCCGACATAGATGCCTCTTGGAAGGACTTCCTCACTGACTGTGGTGAGAGGTGATAATTCGCCGTCGACAGCAGCAACACTAGAGGGCACTTCATCATCCAGCATAGTTTTCTAGGGCATATCTTGGCAATCCGTTACATAGTGTGAAGGCCTTCGAAGAGAAGTATAAGTACCAGACTGTGAAGTGGAAGGGAAGAGTTGTCAGAATCAGAGAAGGCATTGACTTGTGGCTATTCAAGACTAAGAGTTTTGCTATGATCAAGTGACCATGTTCGTGGTCGCCTCCAACGTGACTACTCAGCCACTCAGGATGTTCCCTCCCCAACAGGCGTACAGGCCAGATGTGGTGGACTTGATACTGCTATTTGATGGTCCCCAACAACACGATGAAGTGTCCCTTATACCAGCAGGGTCTTGGGCTCAGTTTGAGGCCTCGTTGCTGAGTCTGGGACGAAGGTGAGATATAGGTTGTGACGAGTTGCTCATGTTCGAGACGTGTTCAGAGGCGGACCACATCTACTACAGTTATGGAGTATAAAGGAGAGTGATAGGCCAGAAGAAGTAGAGGAAGCCGTTGCTGAGGCAGCGTTGGCACTATCGGCTCGACAGGTTGGTCCTGTCTACCTTTCCAGGGCACGAAGTGTATCTTTAGGCTATAATGGGTGCCATTCTGGGTGGGGACCAAGGGCATGGTCCTGAGGCCAACATGAATGGACACCAGTCTACTGAGGTGCATCCCTCGAATATCGAGTCACTCCAGCATCGAGTTTGATCAATACTAAGCGTATGATTGTAGTAGTCGTGGTTGCATTTAGTTTTCTATTAGTGTTGAGTTCAATAGAAGTGCTTGTCGTCGATTGCTGTTCTCAAGTCCTTATTGCCATGGCACTGAGTCGTCGTCATGTAGGAGATAGTAAGGCTATTCGAGGCATGATAAAGCCCATGGAGACCGACATGAGGTGAGGAGGAAGGGTATATCGACAGTATTATGCCCATGTGTCTTCAGCATTGAAAAATTTCCATCCCTGTGAGGTTTTTTCAATTTTTCAACAGATTTTTTGAAGTTCATCCATGTGTTATTGTAGCGGTCATCTTTTCAATAGTATACCGAAGTCGAATAACATAGATGATAGCACCTCGATAACTGATGCGCGATGGTTATTCTTAGATATGGTCGTCGATGGGTGGTCCGAGGAGAAGACAAGAAGCCAGTTTTATATTCCCGTATTGGATCGCCTAATCGATCACATAATATCTCTCAAATACCGTAGGAGGGTTCCATCAGTCTCGATGGTCAGGACTGGTACTGGCTCTTTATCGTATTCTTATGTAGGACTAAGCTGCCTTACACCAAGAGAGCTTATCAGGAGGTATACCGGAAGCGGTGGCCACTCTATCATAACTGCGACGTACAATTCTTCTCGGAATTCGCTGACCGTCCGCACGAGTGAGCTGATGTTGAATGCTCATTTTTCTTTACTTTTATTGTCAGAGAAAGGACGCTTATCGAGACCGCGGCTACTGTGCCCTTCTTTGGGATGCATTCGACGTTCTGGCGATCTCGGAATAAGACTGCTGCTGCTTGTCCAGGCCCTAGTGGGCTCTCCTTCGTCCCCACCGTGCCAGCATACTTCAAGTGAGGTGTTGTCGTTGGTCTGAATGCCTAGTGTGGCTGCCTCTAGAACCATACCATTCGAAGGGAAGATACGTGGGGATGAGTATTGGAACGGGATGCCCATCAGGTAAGCGGGTTGGCTCACAAGTGGGAGACTCATGTTGTGGGTTTTTTGCAGATCGAATGTTGCAGCTCGAGGAAAGTCCTCTGGGTGTTGGAATTGGTCACCTCCTCCAGGAGGGCTCAAGATCTACTACAGACCGCCATTCCCAGAAGCTGTCCATCCTCCTCTTGCGAAAGGGGCTGATTAAACAACATGTTGTGGAAGATGTTTCTGATAGTACGATTAGATTGTGTTGTTATATAGTGGGGACGAACTGCTATTGGAGGATAGCATGACGGGTGGATTCAGCGAGACCAGTGCTGTTCAGCGAGAAGTCCAATGGTGACATCGCGCCATTGGCGAAGGCTGCTTATATGCTGAAGCCTTCCGTGGTACTTCGATCGTGACTCGGACAAAAGTCGATAATGTGAATTCCGAAGTGACGCAACGACGGAGCGGGGACTTAGTTGTTCCATGCTAGTGTGAATAATAAGTGCTTCGCCTGATAGAGAGGCATTGTCGCGGGTGTTGGTTTGTTATGAGTGACAATAAGTACTATTGATAAAACTGCGAGCAGAGCTTTACGAGCGGTGGCGTTTCCCTCAGTTGACTTTGAATGGCGCGACAGGGCCAACTTTTGCCGTATACGAGGCTTCCCTTGTCAATTGCAGGCTGGGTCCATGGAAAAAACCTCAGAGATAGCCCACCCCTATGCAGTTGGCAACTGGTACCTGTTTGACAAGGCCGTACGTCGAATGACAGGTCACTACCAAAATACAAGGGGAGGAGCACGAGAGTAGGCCGCCCTCTATCACACTCGTTGAGTGGATGTGAGATAATCACTCAGTGACAGCTCGATTCCCGCTTTGATATGACCCCGTGACTGAGATCAGTAACCCTCATTGACACGACACTGAGGGGATTCTCTCGTAGCGTTTTGATGAAGTTTAGCGTCACGCGCCACGAAATTATCGCTATTGCGCTTGATCGATTTGTGTCGCTCGTTGGCTGTTCGTTCCAAAGTCATCCCACTCAATCTGCCATCATGGGAGCCTACAAGTACCTCTCTGAGATCTGGAACAAGAAGCAATCTGATGTGATGCGCTTCTTGATTCGCGTCAGGAACTGGGAGTTCCGTCAGCTACCTGCTGTCCACCGTGCCTCCAAGGCCACTCGCCCTGACAAGGCTCGTCGTCTCGGCTACAAGGCCAAGCAGGGCGTTGTTATCTACCGTGTCCGCATCCGCAGGGGTGACCGTAAGAAGCGCGTCTCCAAGGGTATCGTCTACGGTAAGCCCGTCCATCAGGGTGTCAACAAGCAGAAGTCTACCAAGTCTCTTCGTGCTATTGCCGAGGAACGCGTTGGTCGCCGCTGTGGTTCTCTCCGTGTCCTCAACTCGTACTGGGTTGGTCAGGACGCCCAGTTCAAGTTCTTCGAGGTCATCATGGTCGATCCCTTCCACAACGCCATCCGTAACGACCCTCGCATGAACTGGATCGCTCACTCTACCATGAAGCATCGTGAGCTCCGTGGTCTCACCAGTGCTGGTCGTAAGAGCCGTGGCCTTCACAAGCGCGGTTCCCACTTCGGTACCAAGGTCCGCCCCTCGAAGCGCGCCAACTGGAAGAGACGCCAGACTCTCCAGCTCAAGAGGTTCCGATAAATGTCTTAGTTATTGTTGTTGTCGGATCGATGATGCATTACTCATATCGTCGTTCTCATTGCAACAGTCACTCTCACTTTATCTGGCTCGTTATTGGTTTCCCTACAGCAGACGATATAAATGTTTGGGAATGTTGACAGTGTTGTGTTGTATGAGTAGTTACTCGAATATCGCACTGAATTTGGGAGTGCGCGACAAGTCATTGATCTAGTAGTACTGACGTACTAGACTGCTTTTCGAGTGTGAGGGGATTCAACAACTCGGATTGCCACATGCTTTTCATAGCTTTCATTTTTCCCTCTGAATGCTCTCGAAAATGTTGTATTAGGAGAGTATATGTAAAAATTCCCTAGTCACTTCTTTTCTATAAACCATTCAGCTCAGTAGTCATCAATGCTTCACTCTCAACTGAAATACTTTGTATTTACTTGAATCAGTTTCTGTTTTTCATCAATCCCTTGTGTGACTTGATCGACCATTCTAGTTTTCGATCGGCCCTAACCTTTGCTCTATAGCTAACGGGACAACCCTTGTGTGTTACGAGTGGCCTCCTTTCGGTGCGCAGAATACCCCATATTAGAGCTCATCCATAGTTGCATTATGTTGTTGGTTTGGTGATCGTCCACTTCCAGAGGAAGTGCATCGTGACCAGGCAACTCGTTGGACCATTTCTAGACCCGAAAGGATCTGGGTTTTCAACCCTTGTATGTTGTTTGTTCAGCTGCATTGAGTGTGCATGTTCTACATCTGGGAGCCCTCCTAACCTTGAAAGATGACCAGCGCCGCGTCCCCAGTATCACTTCACTCGATGAAGTAATAATCAGGTTCCTAGGTCATAGTAATATGCCAGTATGGTCCTCAGATCCAGTGATGAAGATGTGAAGGGTGCCTTCACGAAGGTCAGAAGCATCGGAGTCTTCTCACTTGGTGCCGTAGCCTTCTTTAATATATCCGGAGGTAGTACTAACAACAGCGGCGTAGTGGCGAAGGGGATGAGATACCGCTTTTCAGGTCCATTTGGTTCCGAAGAAATGTTCTCCTCTGGTGGTCCCCTATGGGGTATTATAGGAATGGTTTTAGGTCTACTATGTTGGTCCGTACCAATGTCGTTCATGACCGCTGAGTTGTCGAGTGCCTTCCCGTATAATGGTGGTTATTCTCTATGGGTAGTAGTAGTATTATTAATACTACTACAAAGTGTTATCACCCTATTCAGGTTAAAGCCGCCTTTGGGAAGTTCTGGGGTGTGCAGGAATCCTATTGGTCCTGGGTCAGCGGCGTTGTAGACAATGCTGTCTATCCCGTAATAATAATAATAACATCATCATCATTATTACCCTTCATACCACTCCTCCCCTCTCTATCGTATCAGGTCATCATTTTCCAGACTATCAGCAGTGTTGCACCCGATACATTCGGGGCTATGTCTGACGGTCTAGCTTGGTTGTTTAAAGCATTCATGTGTATTGCATTTAGCATACCTATGTTATTCTCCATCAAAATCACTGGATATGGTAATACTGCAAAGTAAAGTCGGCTGTTTCCTCTACTCCTCCCCTTTAGGTCTATTACAAATGTCGATATTCGTTTCCATCCCCTTCGTTGTTTTCATCATATGGGGTCTCACCAAAGCTGATCTGAGCGTGCTTGGTGAGAGTAAACCCCTAGGGGACATTGATTGGGTTAATTGGGCTATAGTATGTTTTTGGAACTTCTCAGGGGTAATAAAATCTCCTCCGCATTCACCAATAAGTTCCCGTCTATAGGTTGATTGCGTTTCCACCGTTGCTGGTGAAGTGAAACGTCCCGAGAAAACTGTCATTCGTGCCCTACTTGGCTGTGTTATTATTGTCTTCTTGCAGTACTTCCTCGTGCTTGCCACTGCGGCTGGTATAGATGGGGAGAACTGGCAGGTAGGTTACCCTCTCGAGTGTGGATAGTAGTGTGAAGGGATCTCCCTCTTCTCTTCTTCTTTCAGTACTGGTCAGCAGGATCTCTATCGGGGGTAGGCATGCGTGCCTTTGGGACATGGTTTGGATGGTGGCTCGTGGTCGCCTCTATTGTGGGAAGTGCTGGTCAATTCGTTGCAGAGCTTCTTGAAGACAGCTATCAGATTTGCGGTAATACTTTACATATGAATTCCCCTTCCTCCTAACTTCAACAACATAGGTATGGCTCGTTTTGGATTAGCTCCGAAATGGTTTGGTTATCTTCACCCTACATATCGGACACCATGGGTTGCCATATTCTTCCAAGTTGTCGTCATCTGTGTGCTAGTAATACGATCATCACACAGTGTCTCCAGGAAGGTCTGATGTTCAGGTCTCATTCGACTTTAATACCATTCTTTCGGTTGACTCCTTCATGGCCTGCCTATCAAATCTACTTGAGTTTTTCTCTCTCCTCAAATTACGATGGTCCAGACCGGAGATGGTAATGCTTTCCCCATCTATAGAGATCACTTTCTTTTTCAGAGTCGCCCATACCGTATTCCCGTCAAATCCTTCTGGGGTCTGCTAGTTGCCATGTCACCCCCTCTCATCTATGGTGGTTTTATTGTTGTTGTATCCTTCATCGCTGGATGGTTGACCCTAGGCTTGAACTGTGCTGCTCTGGCAGTCGGCCTTGTTCTGGGTTGGCTTGCTGTAAGGCACTCCGATAAGCTAGGGTTCGATGATCATATGTGGGAAGAGGGATTCGACTGTGATGAGAATTTTCGGGATGATGACAACGGACGACATCCAAGCCTTAGCTCAGGGGGGAGAAATCGATCTAGTGCTTCTGATGACGATATTGTTATCACGTCTATATAGTCGTGGGGTTCAGTCCATCCCCGTATCACATCTGATTATCCAGTTTCTCCACCTTGGTTTTCTGATGAGTTCGCTGAGGTGTGGTATGATGACTATGATCTTTTTCTCAGCATTGATCGTGCATGTTCTACGTCTGGGAACCGTCTTAACGTTCGTTAAATATGACCAGCGCCGTGTCTCCAGCATCACTCCCCTCCACTAAGTAAGTGAGAACATCAACAATAACGGCCATTGGACTTCCTCTCCCTTCTTGTTGTTGTCAGTTCTTCCGAAGATCTCAAGCCGGGTTCCTTTATCAACAAACGAACCATTGGGGTTTTCTCGCTTGGTGCCATAGCTTTCTTCAATGTCTCCGGAGGTGAGAGAGAAATTCATTATCGCTTTTACGGGAACTCTTGTTGTTAGGTCCATTTGGTTCTGAAGAAATGTATTCAGCCGGTGGTCCTCTATGGGGTATTATAGGAATGCTCATGGGTTTATTCTGTTGGTAATGCTACAAACAAGAAGTCGTTTATGTTCTTCTACGGTGGTGATGTGGAATTGTTCAGGTCCGTACCAATGTCGTTCATGACCGCTGAGTTGTCGAGTGCCTTCCCGTATAATGGTGGTTATTCTCTATGGGTAATAGTAGTATTATTATCATTAATACTACTACAAAGTGTTATCACCCTATTCAGGTTAAAGCTGCCTTTGGGAAGTTCTGGGGTGTGCAGGAATCCTATTGGTCCTGGGTCAGCGGCGTTGTAGACAATGCTGTCTATCCCGTAATAATAATAACAACATCATTATTATTATTACCCTTCATACCACTCCTCCCCTCTCTATCGTATCAGGTCATCATTTTCCAGACTATCAGCAGTGTTGCACCCGATACATTCGGTGCTATGTCTGACGGTCTAGCTTGGTTGTTTAAAGCAGGCATTAGTGTCATCTTTACTATACCAATGCTGTTCTCTATCAAACTTACAGGAACTGGTACGACGTTCAACCCCTCCTTCTCCTCCCACCTTGCTGAGACTTGTTCTTATGTTCAGGACTCTTGCAGATGTCCGTCTTCCTACTGATTCCATTCGTTGTCTTCATCATCTGGGGTCTCACTAAGGTAATGTCCTACTTTCCTAGCTACTGGTTTACTACTATCATATTCAGGCCGATCTAAGCGTCTTGGGCGAGACCCTCCCGGTGAATGAGATAGATTGGGTCAATTGGGCCATCGTTTGCTTCTGGAACATGTCTGGTGTACTACTAACACTCAACCTTATCAATGATCTTTATCATCATAATCAGGTTGACTGTGTTTCCACTGTAGCCGGCGAGGTCAAACGTCCCTCGTATACCGTTATTCGAGCGCTTCTTGGTTGTATGACCGTATGCACGTTACAGTACTTCTTCGTCCTGTCAACTGCAGCGGGTATCGATGGAGATAACTGGCAGGTAAACTATCCTCCTCCTCCTCTTTATTCAACTACTTGTCCACATACTTGTCTCTTAGAATTGGGAGGCCGGGTCTCTTTCCGGAATCGCCAAACGTGCTTTTGGAGATTGGTTCGGTTGGTGGTTGGTTGCTGCTGCCATCGTTGGTAGTGCTGGCCAATACGTTGCTGAACTTTTGGAGGACAGCTATCAGATCTGCGGTAGTATCATTATCATATTACTATGTCCTTTCCCTCCACAGATATTATCCTTCTTTTTGATAGGTATGGCCCGCGCTGGCTTGGCCCCGAGGTGGTTTGGTCAGCTTCATTCTCACTATCGTACTCCTTGGTTTGCCATGTTCTTCCAATTGATCATCATCTGCGCTCTGGTAAGGGAACTACTACTACCTGTACTATGTCAATAGTATCTATCTTTGTGAACAGGTCTCTTTCGATTTCAACTCAATCTTATCTGTCGACTCTTTTATGTCTTGCTTATCGGCTTTATTAGAAGTATTCGCTCTCCTTAAACTAAGATGGTCTCAACCGAATTTGGTAGGCTATCTCACCAGAGTGAGAATCTCCCATTCCTATTGTTTTTCAGGAGAGACCTTTCAAGATTCCCGTGAAGTCGTTCTGGTGGCTATCAGTCGTCCTCACGCCGTGTATTGTATTCGGCTCGTTCGTTGTTATTGCTTCCTTTATCGCCGATAAGTTTACCCTCATTCTCAACTGCGTGGTTTTAGTTCTTGGTGTCCCACTCGGTTGGCTAGCCGTTAAACATGCGGAGAAGCTCGGAATCAAACAGAACTGGGAGGATGGCTTTGACGCCGGTCTTGACCAAGTTGATGTTCGTTCTGAGGCCGCCGTCGCCGCATCTCCCCATGCTGGAGAGGAGGAGAAGGAGTTCCCCCCGTCGAAAGGCGATTCCGAGAGACCAGCATCAGCACTAGCATCAGTGAATGTGTAGTCACACAAGTTTCGAAGGTCTATCACTGATGTGGGAGAATAGGTGGGCACCTCTCTCAACAACAAGGCCGAGCATCCGATCAGCCTATGTACGTGGGATATGGTTCTTTCCTTAAGAAGTTGATTCGATTATGATTGAGTTCCTTGTGCGAGCTGTTCCTCACTGAGTGACTTCCCTTTATTGTGTGTTCCACTTCACTGCACTCAAAGACGCCTAAAAACGTCCATTATTCATCATCATCATTGTCGTCGTCGTCTACATACTACCAAGTGTCCTTACTCACGTACTATAGGAATAGTCTTATGTTTCGTCATCAATAAATTCCTACATACTGCGTTCCACAAAACTTCGTCAATTTACTTATTGATACACGACTTGGGTTGTAAATGAGTTCAGTGCATGCTCATGCACGCAACAGTTCCCAATTCAATGAAGTTAGAAGTCTAGACTACAGGAGATCTTCCATCGTCTCTCCAGGGAGGAGGGCTGATTATCATACCTCTAATAAACGATAGACTAGTTTTCTCTCCTCCATAGCAGTTGTACTTCGGAATTTTGTTAGCGATGGAATGTAAAACTCACGTGATGAAACCCCCTAATCAGAGTGACGCTCTCGCCAAGGCAGTGGAAGAGGTCAGGAGGTATATCCTTCGGGAGCTGCTTTATCTGTGGCTTTAATGAGCTCGTCATAGCCTCCTTATACCACTCCGGCTCCAACCTACCCTCATCCATTCTCGGCTCTTTTGATGACGACAGCGCCAAAACAGGACTCAACACGTAGTTCCTCTGTAGTTCCTATGAAGATGCAACTCTCTTGTATGCAACTGAACTCAGTCTCTGTAACATCAGCCAATGATCGTAGATGAGCACGGGATGGGAAGAAAAGGCCTCGCGAACACCTCGGTTTGCATAGGCTATATAATGTAACGAACTTACAACCTCATCATGATTACCCTAATGACCTCCTCTAGCCCTGTGGCCTTCTCTACAGCTCAGCCATCATGGCCTTCTCATACACAGGAGAAGTATGTCATGGTTACTAGGAGCTCGCTAACGGGGGTGCCTCTCGGTAGTTGGCCAGACATTACCGGACTTTATCTGCCTCTAAGTCACCTACCCCCAGCAGGGCCGACTGTTGAGACTACCTAACACGTGCATGCTAAGAATATCCGGAGAAAATTTTACCACTTTTCGACTCTCACTAACTACGAAGAGTTAGGCCCTGAAATTTGAAGGTCGTATCATGCGGAGCGTAAGAGCATACCGCCCTAAGCCGCAAGGTGGTACTCGCTAGATGACGGTGGTGCACGAGTCGAAAAACCGGATATGCTGAGAATATGTGGAGAGATGTACAGGTCATAGTCTTAAGAGAATTGTATACTTTCCGAAGAGCATGCAGAAAAGATTGCGTTCATTGGAGTCGCTGCAGCTATGTGTACAAGTATATTCACTAGTTATGTTAATATCTAATGTGGGAATGGAAATCTGATGTAGACCATACGGGAGAGGCATGTACGGTCTCTTGCCGTGAGATTGAGGCGACTGTACCGTGATAACTCCTCTATGGCAGCAGCCCTCGACTATGGGACTTCCCGAAAATTTCATACCGTAAACCGCTGAACCATTGAACATGATCCGCTCGGAACAGGGCATCAGGCCATAATAGACCATCACAGCGTATCCCCTACTTATGCCTCTATTGACAACACCAAGCCGAGTGGAGTAGGGTGAAGGGTCGTAGACCCCAGCCTTATGGAAATGCAAGCCATAGGGTGGACTACACAGTATCGACATGCATTCAGTCAATAGAGTATCAGCCTCCTCCTCCAATCCTCGGAGCTTACCTTCATCATCGTTCCGGACCTACTACGGGGCTCTCAGACAAACCCGACTGCGACTATTACCTGGACTACTGCCGCCCTTGTTTCTGTCGTTACCCCATCGCTTGCATACACCGTAGTGGACCGGAACCACTCACAGAATTTCACCTCACAGGTGGCGAGGTGTTCTATTTTAGATATTTCCTGTCGGTACTGGTCGAGCGATTCGGCCATTCTCGAATTCAAAGCCTTCACTGCCTGGTCACTGGGCATCGTAGAGGGGGTCTGGTAGTCGGCCTTGGCGAGGGCCGCCGCTATAGAGGCGTTTTCGCGATGGAGTCGAGTCACTTCGTTGGCAGTCTGCATTATTACGTGCATACAATCAGACAGCTTAGATGGTCTGATAGGAGAATGCTCAGCTCTGGTTGATTGCGATCTCGAAGGTCGCGGGTTCAATCCCAACAGCAGACGTATTATCCTCGGCAACCGTGGTGTCCACATGGCCTCAGCCTTCCTCCGCAGCCCAGTGGCCTCATTAAACACCATCCACACCACTGCCCGCATCGCCTCCACGTCCGAGATGGGCCCAGAAGCCGTGAGCTGGCCCATTCGAGGATACCCCAGATTCGATAGATACTCACTTGCAGTCCCTCCCCCTGCCGCTAGCATGCACGCACTATGAAGAATATCTTTCCCCCTGGGGCCTGATGGGGCATCAGAAGCATCCCGTAGAGAGCGGAAGAGCGCAATGTCCACGTTGGCCTGTGGAGAAGATCTGAGCAACACTATAACCGGGCGAGAATGGGCTTACCAGGCCAACAGCCTTTAGAAGGGCCACTGCCCACTCTACTGCATCCTTTGAGCTTACAGTGGCATCGGTAGTTCGCGGACCTGGCTTCATACGACCAATGATATTAACTGTTATGTGGACAGGCAGAGCGGCGAGATCGTAGGCCTCGCGTAGTCTACTAATTGGGTCTATAGGACAATTTTAGGCCCTGTGCCACATGGCTTCATATTTTCCACAAATTTTCCGCAAGTTTTCCACGAGGAGTTTTTCCACGGAAGAACGAAATCTTAATACTGCCCCACTATGGTGCCAGTTCCGTGATGCCCTATCAGTGTTGGAGTAAGTGCTATCCGGTGAGCTCAGGAGTTTCCCCACTCCAGAAATTTCACACACGACTTAATTTCTCAAGCAGAGGTGTACAATCCTAAATGGAATTTCTCCACAATTGTCGTTTTGTCGTATCAACTCCCATAATTCTCGCTGTATTGAGTAGAGCCTCAGCTTCCCCCTAGGGCACGGTACCGACTAGTTGGCGACAACCACGACACTACAACGCAACCCAGCCGCCATGTAACATCTCCGCGGCTCACAGAAAAGCACTACCGTGCCCGTGTACCCTTCAGCCTCACGACCGGCCCGATCTGGTCCATGTTGGATTGGCCGAGAATTGCCTGAATTTCCCTACTACCTGTCCAACTAGAAAGATGGGGAAGGCCCACCTGCCCTTTGAGATTAGTACAAGATGGAGTATTGTTACAGGAGGCAACTAAGGACATCCTGGGCTCAGTTGTCAGTACTCAAACATCGTACGGAAGTTCCATCGGAGGCACTCTTGCCTGATACCACTCCTCCCCCAACTCACCCAAAATCCAGTGAGCCTACGGGGTTCCTATACCATATTATAATATCCTAAACAGAAGCTTCCGCTGTAAGCTTCGCCCGAAGTGTATTGCACGCATGTACAAACAGCGTAAGGAAATCGATCAAGTTGGCGAAAGAAAGCTGAGGTGTATGAGGATGAATACAGTGTTCATATTGTTAGGAGGATCACCCTGGAGTGGGTCGGGGATTTTTTCTTATACAAGTCTCTTCCTCCTTGTTCGCTGCTGTTCTCCGTGGACCCGCATAGGCGTTAGATGTTATGTTGTAACGTGTTGGAGGTTCTCAGTAGCATGGACGCTAGGCTGTGTTGGACCGTACTACCTGTTTTGAATCTTTGGCCTTCGACATTAAGATACCGACTATAACCCAATCTTTGTGTTTGCAATTCAATCGTGGAGTCCGCCAGTGCACATCATCCCTTGGAGGCCACTGAGGCCTATCGATCGACATATCCTTCCGGGTGCGTGATTCGGAGAGGAAGATTCACACTGAGGTCGGTTGTTGACCACCTCAACTGAATGTGAATAGACTTAGCGGAATTCTTATAGGCTGTATGGTGCTATCGATAACCCTTTCCTAGTAGTACCATAGGCGCCCTGTGGCATGTGGTCCTAGTACCGCCGTCTCTCCAGCTTGTGTAGGATGCCAACCTGCTACGGTCTCTTCCTACCGATGAGCTCTTGCGTTGAAGTATGTGCCAATCGTCATGATCATTATCGTCAGTGGTCTTGGTCCTATCATGTTTGGCCAGATCCGTACCAGACGGCGGAAGGGTTTGGATCTTATAGGGGAGTACGATAGTGATGATGATGATGTTCCCTCGAGTGGTGAGGAGGAAGAGGATGACGGCTTCACGATGGACACTAGCCCAGAGGACCATGACCAGGAGCTTCTTGAGAGTAGGGTCATAGACCAGGAATTGATGGGAACTCCCTCTTCTCAGGCTTGGAGCATACAGGCTTAGGGTCGCCGATGAGGAGGAACCGACGAAGTGGTCGAGGAGTGGTATGCTCACTCAGTTGGAATCGATTGGATCCTTCTCTCAGGCTTCTTCATCATCGTCTAATGCACCCAAAGTCAGTTTCGTCCTCGGTATGTCCCAAGCAGCCCCCTCAGAGGAGAAGGCCGAGAGTGGCGAGCAAGCCGTGGTAGGTTGGCTTCAATGCTTACGTATGGTAAGGGTTGTCAGATGGGCCCATCGTTCGACCCTAAGTTTGATCTCAAGAAGGGTATGGATCAGCCTGTGGACGGTGGGGGAAAGTCCATCAACTACATGACCAAATCCGAGATGAAATCCAAGTAGTAGTGGTGGCCTAGGGAGTAGTCATTGACCTACGTGTTGGCAGGTACGGTGTGGGGTTCGCCATGTTGGCCAAGATGGGCTTCAAGGGTGGTGGTCTCGGTAAGAATGAGCAGGGTATTGCTAATCCTATCGAGGTGAAGGTCCGGAGGAAGAACGAGGCCCTACAGGAAAGTGGGGAGAAGGTCAGTGGGCCCTTGGGATCAACAGAAGGTCAATCCGATGGTCCTCAGGTGAATCAGGATTTGTTTGGGCATAAGATGGCTACACGGCGGGCCAAGGGAGCGAATGCTCTGGACATCATTAACCTTTCGGAGGAGGCCGTAGTAGATCAAGAGGAGGAGGGTCGGCCTAAGAAGGAGAGGAGTGAGGGGTGGAAGAAGGGTTCGAGGAAATATAGGGATGCCCAGAGGAAGACGTCGTCCAGGTCGGTGGCCTTTGGGGATGTACCACACGTGGCCCCAGGTAGTAGTGCTACTAGAATGAGATGGTCTTATATGTTGGTGTAACGTCAGCTTCTATGTCATCCCGGGTCATCGATATGACTGGGCCGTTGGGACCACAAGTCGTGGGGGACCTAGGGGCCGCGGTGACAGCAGCTAGGGAGAGGTCTGAGGGGCCTGTCCATCTGGCTGAGTTGAGACATAACGCAGTGGAGATGCTCGAAATGCAACAGGAGAAGGTGGACGACATGGTAGTATCTTAGGCCTTGGATGGCTAGATACAGATGAGGCTGATAAGCAGATACGCCAGAGGGCCGCTATAGGATCATCCTTGCGTAGTGTGGAAGAGGACTCCTTGCCCAGTAAGGAAGCCATAGAGGAGGACCTTAAGGCCACTACTGCATTGGAAGGGGAGGTAGTAGTGGATTACTTGTGGCCCTTCTGGGCCTCCTATAAATTGCTCAGTTACGGTCCACCCTGTTGAGGTGTCGAACTGTTGCGGAGCTCTCTGAGGCATCTTCGAGGTTGAGGGAGCAGTACGCTGATAGGGGTCGGGTGTGGTATCGGGTCGATGGCGATTCGGTCCTCCTGGCGGCCAGCAGTGCTTTGGGTCAGAAGGAACTGTCAAGGGCTACTACTGCGGAAGAGTAGTGATGGTCCTTCGTCATCATCATCGGATGCTGAGCCTGGGCGGTCTGGTCAGGTTCAATCGAATTCTTGGTACCTTGGTCCAGGATGTCATTTTGGAGGACGCAGATGTGGACCGGTCGGTGCGGAGCGCTCTTTCGACGGAATGCCTGATGTCAGGTTCCTCTGCTCGGCCGTATGTCCCCACCTCCAACGGCTGTGTACCAATACTAAATCCCTTACCGTTCTCGTGGATCTATTGGACTCCCTCCAGCAAGTGTCCTCACCTTATGTGTAGGTCCTTCGTGAGGCTTGGTGGGCCCAGCTGGTCTTCATAGGTACAACGCCCTGTTCACGCGTGCAGTGATGCCGACTCTGACAGATCGAATATCGAAGTCCCCACCGGACCAACTGTAGTTGAGGTGTCCATCTTTATGGCGTATAGTATCATCAGGTTTGCCCTGGTGAAGCCGCTGTTAGAGGTCATCCCTCAGTCCTCTTGGACCCTCCTAGTGTCGGACCACATCCGGCCAATGCTGTCCTCAAGGCCCGACCAACTGCCAAGCACCCTCAAGGGTAGGCGACCCAAGTGGTACCACGTGCGATGTGATCTGATGGTCCTCTTGACAGATTGGAAGGGGACACTACCGAGTGGGGATTGCAAGCAGCTGCAGTTGAGGATGTGCGGGGACCTCGGCGACAAGCTGAGGCGTGTCCAAGTGAACCCGGCTAATCAGGAGCATGTAGTGCTTTTGATGTCGATGAGTCCATATCGTGGTCCATCTCTTAGGGTGACCTCATCCAGGAGTGTGTTAATTGGGCGAGGGACGGTTTGGTGCCCACAGCGGCCTGTAGCAAGCTGTTGGGCGATACCCTTATGACCCATGCATGGGTAGGGGCCCTGAGGAAGTGGCTCAAGCAAAGAGGCAATGTCTCTTTCCAAGAGGTAATCTGAAAGTCCATAAGGCCTGTATCGGCAGTGTGGAGGGTCTCAGGTCCTCCAGTGGTTCCAGGGTTGGCGTTCACTCTTGGGCCCAGTAGCCGAGCTGGGATCAACCCGCAACGCCCTCCTACAGGGCCTCTATCTCATCAGGCGGGCCCTTACTGGGAAGGAGGACAGCCTTATTGGAGGTGACCTCCCGACCAGTGGTGAGGAATCGGAAAAGCAGAAGGTAGTATTGGTCTAGTCTAGTGTGTTGATGAGGATGTGGACCTTAGGACCAGGGCAAGGACGATGAGCTCCCCCCGGAGATGTCGACTGGCCTCAGCTCTCATGCAGTAGCTGTCCACCTAGGGGATGTCCTAAACGACCTAGCGCCCGATGTGCCACTGTTACAGAAACCGGGCATGCGTGTTGATGGTCGGCAAGTGTATAAGTTTGGTACTCTTGGTTCGGTCTATTGGAGGGATAATGAGCTCTTTTATAAGCCTACTGTTACGGGCGATTACACCATGATTGCTGCCACTGATTTGGTCGATAAGGCCAAGGCTGCTGCTACTGCTGCTAGGCCGTCGGGCCCTCGGCGGCGGTAGTAGGGGACAGGCCTATAACGTATACTAATGGTAATATTTGTGAGTTTCCTGGTCCTCCTCGTATTGGGGTTTGAAGGGGAGGAGGGTTGTTGTCGAGGTCAATTTAGTTGTATCGTAATAGTACATGTCCAATGACAGTGGGGGTCTCGACCCACCACCTCCCATGCCGACACTAACCCCTTCAACAGACCACCAGTCTAGTGCGGTACCGATAATGCATGATAATGATATGGAAGTAGAGGCATCACCATCACCGCCGCCACCACCAGCTGTGCCTCCGAGCCCCTACAGCGCTCCACTGTTAGGAGAGGCCTCAGCTGGAGTACTGGTACCACCCTTGGAAAGGGCAGCCCAGATGGTAGAGAAGGAGGGTTCTTCTCCCGTTACGGTTGGAGCTTCTTATGGAGCCCTGGTTACTAACCTTGCCAACTTGCAGCAGCAGCAGCAGAGTCCCCCGGCCCCTCGGCCACCGCAACCGTCTGAGGCGCCTATTAGTCCGACTCCTGCGGTCAGTCTCCCATCGGTTGGTCTCGACGACGACGAGGATGAGGAACAGAAGTTGATGTTATCCTTACTAGGGGTGGATCCGCAAAACGCGGTGGACCCATCCCTAGTTGAGGAGAGCAAGGCACCAATATCCCTAGTGGGACCATCCGAGACGGCGAACCCTCCAGCAGCGGCAGACCACCACGAGAAGCCAGATGTAGTTGATGAGCAGCAGCAGCAGGAGGAGAAGAAGAAGGTCGAAGCGAATGTAGTTGGTCCCGTGTGGAGACCCAAGGTGCCCTTTGTGGAACAAAAGGTCGAGGCTGTTGAAGCCAAGGCCGTTCCTGGTAGTGATCTACTACGACATGGAGGTATGAAGGTGCAAGAGGACGGCTCGGTGGTCCGCAACAGAGAGGTATCCTCCACCGGGGCGGAGTTTGTCCGGTGCGCGGAGTGTGGTAAGTGGCGACTAAGGCCCCGGTGCGAGGGGGGGCCTGATGGGTCCAGAGTCACTTGTAGTTCCTTCGTGGCCACCTCCTGTGATGACCCATGCGACTGGATTACTTCAATGTTGGATGCGGTGGAGCTGCTGCCTCTCATCCCTCTGCCACTCGAGAAGAAGGAGGAGGAGGACGACGTTGCTAAGGACGAGGGGTCGATGAAAGCAGTTGAGGCATCCCCTATGGAGTCTGTGAAGTCGGAAGCTCCGAAGAAGACTCCCGAGCTAGGGCCTGCTAAACGGGCAACGACGGGTGGGAAGAAGTCTACAGCTGGAGGGTCGGTGAAGGGCAAGGCAGGCTCCAAGGGAGGCAGTGGTGGTAGCAGCAATCGCACTGGAAAGGTTGGAAGACCGCGCAAGGTTAACAGCAGTACTACCCCCAAGACCAAGCCGGCGTTGCCTTCTCCGGATTCCCCGAGTAGTAATGGTATGATGATGAATAGCTGGGTGCAGTGTGACTGTTGTCGTCGGTGGCGAATGATCTCGGCCGAGCTAGCTAAAGCTAAGGAGGGACGAGATCAGATCTTCGTTTGTTCTGAGCTCCCTGGCAAGTCTTGTGAGGACCCCTGCGACTGGATCATGGATACGCAGGGTAGGGTTATGGCAGGAGAGTCCCCAAGCCCACCGGGGGGCTCCACTCTACTACCGAGACACTCGTCTAAAGGTGGTAATAGGAGAGGGAGTACCAGTACCAGCAGCAGCCGACAATCGGCAGCAGCCCTGCCTAGTTCGGGTCCAGAGGGGCAGCAGTCTACATCCACTGTCACCAAGGGGTACCCAGAGCAGGTCTCCATTAGTGCGGTGAACAGCAGTAGTTCCCCGGAGCAGGCAGCCTCGGAGGGGAGTACTTTGGTGAATGTGGTCCAGGTCAGCGTAGATGCGGTGGAGTGTCTGTTAGACTGGGATCAGCCACGGGACCGGTACTAGGGTTGGTAACGATAGGGTTGTATTGGATGGTCATGTGTAGGTACTATGTTAAATGGAAAGGGGCTGATGTTCAGTTGGGGGATTGGGAGCCTTCAGCTCGTCTGCTAGAGGTAGGTGCTGGCTCCTATGATGACATGATACCGATTTGATAACAGGTCCCAGAGGAGATGAAGGAGATGGCTCGAAAAGAGGGCAGTCGATGGTCAGCTGCAGTGGCTGTTACTGATGCCCGACGGAAGAGGGCTCGAACTACCTTATATACGGATATGCGACTGAAGAGGCAAGAGGAGCTGATAGCGGCAGCAGCGAGGCAGCCAGGGGAGGTTGAAGGACCCTCTACGGCCCCGACAGTATCCCCAGCACCACCCATGATGCCGCCAGACATCTCGGCCATCACGGTAGGAGCCTATTCGGTTGGTCCTAAACAAGGTCATCATGTGCCTCTGGCTCAGGCTGTTGCATCGTCCTCTTCTGTGGAGGAGGCAAGCGGTCATCCCCCCACGGCGGTGGTCATGGACCCCATGCCTAACACGGCGGCGACGGCGGCTTCTGCCGCTGCTGCTGCCGCGGGGGTCACTGCAATATCTCATACGGTGGGTGGTCTGGGTGGAAGTAAGAGGACCATCTGTTGGAGTTCAGGAGGCTTTTGAGCACCCCAAGGTGACCACGGCTAGACCAAAGGCCAAGTCCAGGATGCAGGCGCGGAAGCAGGCTATGTTGGCAGCTAAACACCGACAACAGGGCAAGAAGGAGAAGGAACAGGAAAAGATACTAGTAACATCTCAGAGGAGGACGGCATTCATCTGGCCCTACTCCCCTTAGGTCCCTGTGAAGGAAGAGAAGGGCAGTAAAAACGAGACGGTAAGGGCAGGGCGTACGATAAAGTCGGTGGCACCCATTCGGACTGAATTTAGCGCTTAAGAACTGCGTGGGACGGTCAGAATGTGTGGCGGGCCCTTCCTCCCTATTGGTGCCATTGTCTCTGGATGGTCGCTTTTCAGACGGCATCAGTAGCAGCAGCAGCCGGAGTGAAGGTATCGACGACGCCTAAGAAAGCTGTGGTGGCTGAGGTCAAGCAGGAGGTGGCGGCCCACAAGGGCAAGAGTACGGCTAAGGGCTCGAAGCGGTCGTTGAAGAAGGCCAAGGATGCTAAGGCCGAGGAAGTAGAAGGGAGTATAGTAGGCAGTGAGAAGGGAGGTCGGAAGAGGGCGGCCTCGACGCCTAGGGCCAACAAAGGGGCTAACAAGGCAGGGAAGAAGAGGAGTAGAGGCCGACCACCCAAGAGTGATATTCCCTCACAGGTCTAGGGTAGTGTCCATATGGTGTAATAGGTCTATTCTCGGACATAGAGGAGGAAGAGGGGGATACACCCGACATCGACGGTGATGACAATGATCAGGCCATGGTCACTGAGCCGACTCCTAAGAAGAAGCGCACAAGGACGACGACGACCGCTGAGGGTAGGAGGGGGGTTATTGGCCCCGAGGGGCGTTGAGGGTCCTTTGGTAGGTTCACGGACCCCTAGAGCCAGTAAGAAGAAGGTTGAGGAAGAGGTTGTGAAGAAGTCCCCGAAGGTGGCTGTCCGAGGGGAGGTAGAGGGGGTCTCGGAAGCATCCCCCCCTCCAGAGGAAGCATATGAGAAGCCAGGTAGGTGTGGTATGGTCGTAGTGGGGTAAATGGAGGTGATCTGCAGGTAAGAGGAGGAGGAGTGTGCTGAAGATGATGGAGTCGAGCGATGATGATGATGAGGAGGAGGCAGCAGCCGAGGAGGCGGAGGCGGCGGTGAAGAGGCGGAAGAGGAAGAAGAAGCATGAGGGGAAGAAAATGAAACATAAGAAGAATAAGAAGGTGAAGGCAAGCGAGAAGCTCGAGTGAGTCCATTGGGATAGGGTCGATTGATACAAATGGTATTGGCTATCATCAGGGCCGTTGACGTTGATACTAAGGGCATCACTGGGGGCAGCAGCACTGTGGACCTGGAGACGACGACGACTAGTGTGAGCTACCCTATGCCCACGGGCAAGGTCCCAACCGTAGGACGATCGTCGTTGCCTTCTCTCCTCCTTGATGTTAAGTTGTTGTAGTTACACCATCGGGCCGATGCCTTTATGCTATGTGTGAAGCCAGTAGGGTGTACTATTGAGACCGCTATAGCGTGGGCTAAGGCATTGATCTCGGCTGAGGAGGGCGATACGAAACCAGAGGATGTTGAGCTCATTGCAGGCGTTATGGACGAGGAGTATAGTGGTAATGGTCCCTTGGTGCTCTTGCCTACTTGATGATCTCCCTGCTGCCCAGGTTTATGCCTCTTTGGGCTCTCGGGGGCAACCAATGCCTTCTTGAAGGAGCAAGCGAGGACCCAAACCCTTTGCCTTGGGGTAGTAGGCCCATGGTCTCGTTAGGCCCTGCATTTGGTCTCCTCCTATTAGTACCTCTGTGTGATCGCTGGTCGACCTCCGGCCCCCAACGGCCTCCTACATGGCAGCCTCGGGTGCAGCTACACTACTGTTGCTACGATGACTGATTCGAACACTGGGAAAATCGAGTACGCCCTCATCTATGTTAATGGTAGGGTTCCTACCGGGTCTACTCATACCACACCATCGACACTTCTTTTCAGCGACCCCCCACGAGGAGGGCAGTCTACCATTGCTGCCGCCTCATATCAAGCTGGCCTCTGCGGACACCCATTCCCTCCTCTACTATGGCCTCAAAGGCTCCGGTCGGAGCTCATTGGTCCATGCTAGTCGTTTGGTGAGTGGTGGTCGGGCTTTGGCCCATGAACCCGTCACTTGGCCGTCCTCCTCCTCCTCAGGCTTTCTACCCACCGATGCCCAACAGCCCCCATACGCCGATACCTATAGCTGGCTTTGAAATATCGATACCACCGGAATATGCGGAGTTCCTCAGATTCGCTGGAGACACTCAGACCAATTGGGAGCCTCTTAAGGTTGGTTCTTAGTTGTGGGTTATGATCCTCACCACCACTGGTCTTGCTCAGGTCTCGATGTCCTGCAACCGGTTCGCCAACGTTGGGCCGGACCACTGGGTGGTCGGTGGCTCACGACAAGGCCAGGCCGCCAGTGTCTGTAAGGTCCACTGCTGGTCCGACTACCTGGATGTAGGGCTTGAGCAGGTTTCCCCTCTGGCTACTGCCCCTCGTGCTTCACGGTGTACCCCAGCTTCTCATCCCGACAAGTCTGTAACAAGTGTAGTGAGGGCCAGACCCTCCTAGCAGTACCTTGGGCCCGCCATGTGACCTACCAACAGGCTGCATCCAACCTCCTCACAGCCCAACAGCCTGAACATGTACACTACGAGGGTTGATGATGATGACCGGGGCTTACTCCTAATCCTCTACAGGTCCTCCATAACCAGCACGAGATTGCTCAGGCAGCTGCTGCGGCTTCAGAGGATGCCAAGAATAACGACGAGGGCAGAGAGTCTGATAACGACCCCTTAGTGCAGCTGAGACGCCACGTGATAACTACTGTAAGGAGGCCAGCTGAGGCTAGTGGCCCCCTGCTACTTTGGGTCGTCGATAGGTTCGGCTCAACTTCGAATCGCGAGGTCAAGGTTTCGCTGGTGGGGTGGGGGTACTCATAGCAGATGTCGAGGCCCAGTTAGATGCTGAACTGCCCACGTGGAGGGACGCGGTACCTCACTCGGCTGCTGACAGCAGTAGGATGGCCACGGGGGTCTTCTTCTTCTTATCGTTGGTGTCTTACTCAGATAGGGTTGGTCTAAGAGGACTACTGGGGGATACAGAGCCAGAGAGACGGGCTCAGGGAATTATGAAGGTAGTAGCAGGGAGGAGGTCGGAGGTGATCTGCTCGGGGTCGTCGTCAGATATACCTCCCATTCGAGTCGCTCCCTCGATTGGCTCAGCATCCCGAGTATAGCTCCTACATGCACTCACAGACGGTCTATGCGGGTGGTCCGATCTCACAGAAAGGGTCGGAATCTCGATGGCAGCAGCAGCAGTATCATCATCATAAGGGTGGTGGGGTGAAGTGGGGTCAGCAGCAGCAGCAACTGCCGGCACAACAGCAGCACTACAAGGGTAGTGGGGGATGGGCGAGTGGTCATAAGGGGGATTGGTCCAAGTATAGAGGAGTTGATTGGTCCAAGAAGGGCAGTGGTGGAGATCGGCATCATCATCGTGGTGGTGGTGGCGGCCCTAGTCCTTGGGCCTCCTCCTCCTCAATACCTTCAACCAGTAGACCACTATCTCGGAACTGGACCTCTAGCTATGATCAGTATCTACATCATCACACTACTGATACCGAGGCCCCCGGCAAGCAACAACAGAGGCCCTCATCAGGATCACCCTCGGGGGCTGTGGAGGAGGCTGCTTCTGAGCTACGTAGGCCAAGCCCGGGCAGGGTTGTCCCCCAACAACAAAGCGTGGACCGATCTACACCCCCGCAAATGTCCTCGGTAATTGCCCGAGCTACAGTGGCGGCAGCTCGTGAGTCGGCTTGGAGTGACAGACCGGTGACAGCACCAATGAGCCCCGCTATGGCGGAGGGTATGACCACAACTTCACCGCCCGTACAGAGGTCTACCAGTGAGATAAGTGTCGCCCTGGCCTCCCCTGCTAGCGCTGGTCTTCCCTATGCTCCAAGTAACCCGGAGATGTCCCCAGCGGCGATGAGTGAGTCCCAGAAGCAGCCCCCGTTGGTCCCACGGCCACATACAGTGCTTCGACCCCTAGTACCTTTGGGGATGCCTCAAGTCCCTGAGGTGGTCCTGAGTGACGCTGACGTGAAGGCCATTGTGGAGCTAACTGCCCTCATCAGGCAGCGGTGTGGTAATCCGATGCTGGCGGCTCCGGGGGATGGTAGTAGTAGCAGTGCATCACAGTCGATCCACACCGAAGGGCCATCCTCATTGGAGCCCCCTCGGGACCCTCGTGAGGTCCTACGACGGGCTGGCAGCGCGGCGAGGTCTGGCGGTGGGTCGTCGACTAGAGCGAGGTCTCCACATAGCCGTACGCCGCCCCCTCGACGGAGGAACGAGGAGCGGGAGAGGAATAGGATGTATTATAGGACCCCGGACAAGGACGATCGATCGTCCCCTAGAGGGGCTAGGAGGAGGCGAGGACGGACTGCCAGCGACAGTGAGAGCAGATCGAGGAGTATTGTTGCGAGGCGGCGGAGGACCTCGAAGAGCGGGTCCTCGGGAGAGGCTGGTGTCGACTCGGGGTAAGTGGGTCGGACTATGAGGTGGTGTCATTAGCTGTGTGGTATTAGGTCTTTAGGGCAGGGAGGCAGTGTGTGGACGGACCCTGGTCGGGGCTGGGACCACCACGGAGGGGAAGGCGGATGGAATACAGGCGGTGGAAAGGGGAGATCCGCGTGGCATAGAAAAGCCCATTAAAAGGCATATGCAGATTCCAATATTTGAGTACCATTATTCTTCTCCGTGGAGTTCGTCGCCGATACTACCGCTGTACCATTCCTTCGACTTAACGTACTATCGAAGACGTGTGCCTCCCACAAATAGTAACCTAACGTCAACTGTAGCCTGTTGAATCATTTTCTATCATCATCTAACATGTTGCGCAATTCGCCTCCGATCGGAGCAGTGTGGGCTCTCGCGCTCGAGCTGGAAACTTAGTACGTCAATGGAGGAGAGGCGGAGCGATGGGTTTTCGGTAGACGAATGGGCCTCTTTCACCATGGGAGAGTTTCCACAAGCGAGCGGGGAGAACCATGACCAAGGGGTGGTACTGGAGTTATCCAACAGCATACATAGACCTGTGCACGTTATAGACAATCTAATGGACAGGTGGTTGATTCAATATCGGAAGAGCTGCCAGTAGCAGCCCTTTTGATATTGAGTTGATCAATCTTTGTTACCACGATACCATCCTTGCGGGAGAGTCGGCAGGGGATAAGTCGAAAATCGGATACTCGAGCATGGTCGCCTACCGTCGCCGAAAGCGACCTTTAGCGTCTGTGAAGTAACTTGTTTAGTGCCACTTCACGAATGGTCAAAAGATAAACCCCAATCTCTGCAAGATCTCAACGATGCGGTGGAACCGCGGTCACCTGGATCGTCGTCGTCGTGATGTTGCGGGAATTCACCCATCCTAGCCTAGTCTTTGGTTGTCGCCCTATGATGAGGACGGCAACCCTTGTCAGTGATGGGAAACCGAGCGGCAAGTTGCAACCTAGGTCCACTACAGAGATCTGACCAAGGAGGCTCAAGGGTTTTTACTACTGAAACTCAACCCAGAACTATCCAGAAAATGTTGACGATCAGGCGAATAAGAAATGAGCAACTTATCCAGATGGGATTGTTCGATATCTCTAGCATGGAAAGCGGCGCTCCTCTGAGGTTCAATATGGGAAAGAAATACTGCTGCTGCTGTTCTACAGAGTTGGGGAACCTTGAGTGTTATAGCGGCTCGCTCCATGATAATACTCTTCAGCACATCTCGATGCTAACAGCTGGATAAAACTTGTGGAGGCAGGCGTAGCACCAGTTCATGGTCTCTTCGAATGGTAGGGGCGCATCCAATCGATCCTGCTGGTTAGCCTCGATCGTTCTCCTATCACAACGATCACGGCTACGCTCAGCAGCCTCGGCGTCTCCACTTGACAGAGCCTCCTCCCATTGCTGAAGTAGTAAAGGAGTGGTATGAATAACAGATAAACACCAACTACGTTAGAATCACGGCCGACATCGCAACCGCACCAATCGCATTGAGTAGAGCCTTCGGGGTCTTCCTCGAACGGTCTAAAATCCAATCTGAGGAAGCCAGCAGAGATAATGAGAGAACTATTCACGGACGATTTAACGCACTTTACAGTCTTTATCTTCAAACCATACACAGAGCTCAGAGTATCCCTGATACGATCAGCAATCACTTGACTAGCCTCTCGGGTAACGGAGTGGAGCACCTACAAGAGGCCACATAAAGGAATCGATCCGACAACCTCTTGGCATGCAGTCAAGCCCTTTACCACTATGCCATCTCCTCCTCACCTCCCACAAACGCTTAGGTAGATCAGCCATGCTGATACTAACCCA